TTAGGACTGCCACCTTCTGCTTCGGAATGAGCGTGTGTGTGTTTACAGGGAGGTAAGGTGCTGTTTTCTGCTTTTTAAAAACTTCTGGATCTTTTTACAGCATGGTTTTAGGCTGGGGAGGGTTATGTTTTTTGTGCTGTGATGGGTCTTGGGGGTTTGTTTTTTTGGGGGTTCCCCCCATTTCCGATGGGTCTTGGGGTTTTTTGTTGGTTTTTCGGTGTTCCCCCCATTTCTGATGGGTCTTGGGGGATTTGGTTGTTTTTTGGAGTGTTTTTCATATTTTCAATGGGTCTTGGGGGGTTGGTTTGTTTGTTGGCTTTCCCCCCCATTTCCAATGGGTCTTGGGGGGTTTTGTAGCTTTTCGGGGGTTTCCCCATTTCCGATGGTCTTGCATGTTTCTCTTGCTTTTTCTTTTACTCTCTTTGCATTTCCGACCTGGTTCCTTTGTTTTCTGTGCATTTCCGATCTGCTCCGTTTGTTTTCTGTGCATTTCTGATGGGACTTGCATGCTTGATTGCTTTTCTCCCCCACCCCCTTTGGCCGGAAGGGATTAATCGTGTTTCCAATTAGTCTTGCAGTGATGTGTGTGTGTGTGTGTAGAGAGAGAGAGAGAGAGAGAGAGAGAGAGAGAGAGAGATTTTTTTCCTTCGGCCGGAACGGATTAATTGAATTTCAATGCACACCTAAGTGCTTCGACTTACAACCATTTTGAGTTACATCCACCTTCTGGAATGGATTGCGGTCATAAGCCGAAGCACCACTGTACTGTCCAGAAGCTGCTGCCTGTAGATGATTCTCCCTTCTTTTTACAGATCTTTAATTCTGAATCAAACTTGAACTGGATAACTCTTCAAATCAAGGACACCATCAAAAAGAGGATTATTCTGTTGCAGCTCTTTGAACAGAGAACTGTTGTTCTTCAAGGAGGAGATATGGCCACCATCCTGGCAGGTGCCTGACTCCGTGATCCACAGCTATGGCAGCACCTAGCTTGCTTGCTGTGGCATTGAAGAGACAGTGTTGTGCATAAACCAAGCACACAACAAGCATTCAGAAGTGGCTGCTTAGCCATTGTTGCCACCCTGGTTGCCTTGATCTAGCTAGGGCAGGCAGATACCAGAGCAACTGACCAGGCAACAGCTGCCAGCAGACTTAGGTTGGACTCCATGGAGAGAGACTTTATGTGGATTTCCCCCAAGTCTTCCACAGCTACGTCCTGTGAGATGTAGAGGGAGAATTCACTGATTTTTTTTTATTTATTTGGCTTATAAATATCATGACTTTTATCCAAGATTGGGACTTAATATTAAAACCTAACTTAGCATATGACATATTAAAATACAATCCAACTGAAAACAATTGAAAGCACAGGAATAAGGATAGTGTTGAATCTGCTTGTAAAAAACCCCTACCTCCGCAAACAAGCCATCTGAATAAAGAGATCTTTGCCTTCCCTCTTGGGAGAAACACAAGAGAGAGGAAACAAAACTAGCTTCCTATAGGAAGGAAATTCTATGGTTCAACAGAAACCAACAGGACAATTCTCTCCTATGTCCCCTACCCAACACATTTCTAAGAGTGGTGGGATGAAATTCCAGCAAAGCACCATGGGACGGTGCAGCTTCTCCGTAGCAATGGTGGTCAATAGCAGCTGATGGCAGCTACAGAGCAAAAGAAGGGGCTATCTCTACATCAGGTGACAAAGGGATCAGACCAGCCCTGTAGCAAATGCCAGACCTAAAAGTAAGGCAAAATCAGTTATGAGTGGTCATTGTGCCTTCTTCTGTTTTTATGGTCAAGAGGGAGAAGTTCCCACCCTCACAACTCTAGAATGTATAAACTGTGTACTTTACTGCCAATCGCAGTCTAATCAGTCATTGCATGGCTGTGGAGTGGGGGAGGGGTCAGCAGATTCATTATTTTCTCTCCCAGGAGAAGACCCAGCCTGTGTGCCCTTGGACAAGCTGCACAGTCCCAGAGAAGGGACTGGTAAACCATTTCTATATACTGAAGAGACGCTGGAAGGGGTTGCCACAAGTCAAAATTGACTTGATGGATGTTAATAATGAATTTTTATAATTCATTTATAAAATGGATTATAATTTATAATTATGATTACTGGCATTGATTGCTATTTTCCCATTAAAACATTTTGACCCTTTGATGTGCACAGATCAAAAGTTGATTTCAGAGCTGCTTCTTGACCTGATTCTAGAAAACAAAATACATTTTTAGAAATATACCTTCTAGTTACCGTACATTCGGCTGCCAACTGGTAACCCTGGAAATAAAAGAGGTACTTACTCTCATTCATACATGAAGAGTAAAGTATCTTGGCCTTCTGTACAGCTTCATTGTCCCGCCTTTTGCTGAGAGGTTTCTCAAGTAGAGCTGCGAAATTAAAGAAAGAAGAAACTTTCTCTCTCTCTCTCTCTCAACAACAGATCGGAATATTACAACTGGACACTGAGGCTGCTTGGGGGGACCCCCATTCCTTTTAGAAGTTTCCACCCCCAAACATTTTTTCTATTCATGCAAACATTAGAGCTTGCCTGCATTTGCTGATAGCTTTCTTTTCTGCAATATACACTCCAACAATAGGTATATAAATGTTAGATATAAAGATGCAGCAGGATCCACATATCTGCGGGATCAGTAGCCGCTGATACACTTATCCATAGTCTGAAAATATGAAAAATATAAAAAGAAAAACTCTAGAAATATATTTTTCTAATGGTGAAGTTACCAGAACTGGTCACTAGAGGGAGCCAGAAATCATCCCATGTATAGCAAACATTATTAAAATAAAGTTTGGTATAATCTGCATTTTTCAGCATCCGGCGGGTTCTTTGAACCAGTCCAAGGATATAGGGGTCCTATGAGATAGATATAGACACAGAGATATAGATATAGCTATAGCTATAGATAGGCTGATTGGATATCCCAGAAGTTGGGAATTCAGTTCCCCTCTGTGCCTCCGGTGAGTAAAGCCATTGTGCGTGGCCATGTGCAAGATGCACAAGCCCAGGATGTCTGCTCCAGAAGGGAGTGGTAAACCACTTCTGAGCACTCTTTGCCTGGAAAACCCTGAACAGGGTTGCCGTAAGTCAGAACTATCTTGACAGCACTTCATAACCATCATCATCAGATATGTTGCCTTTTAGGAAAATGTTAGTTTCTAGAATGTAAATCTCTCATTGAGGAGCAGATGTCTCTTCTTGACTCTATTGCACAGTCACACACTATCACACACACTCCTGAACATCATGAAACAAGCATTGTCAGTTTAAATCAGCATCAGGTTAATATAAAGTAAGCTAAAATGCTAAAAGATGTTTAGGCCTGCTATGAAAATAGAGTATGTTCATCTGTAACATGTGGAGGGTGAGTGCAGAGCTCCACAGTTAAGCTGTGAACTAATGTGAGTCCTGCTTCAAAATAAGAACAAAATATGGTTTAAAATACTGTAACTTAGAACATTCTCATTGTACAATTGTACTTTAATCCCATGTATATATCTCCTCTCCTCCAAGGAGCTCAAGATGATAGTTCATGTAACTCTCCACTTCTTTCTTGAAGCAAGTTAGATGTAGGGACGTTAGATTTTTAGTGGCTAGACATTGGCAGCCAATGAAATTCATGGCAGTGTTGAAATTTAAATATCTAGAAAATCTCTTCCATACCAGTCCAATACTTTGCCCATTGTACCCATGGGGTGGAATGGGGGTCCTACAATTGTTGTTGAACTACAACTCCCATAATCCATCACTCCATACTGGCTAGGGCTTTTGGCAGCTGGAGTTCAGTAACGTGAGGAGGGTCACAGGTTCCCACTCTAGTACAACACCACATGGGATTGTGCACATTTGTGCAGGTGCCAATCTGATGGGATATTTAGCAAGGGGCAAGGTATGAGATGGAAAAGTAAACAACCAAGAGGAAGAGGTAAACAACCAAGGGTGTAAAAATCTTCTTCATATTAGCTCAGACTATTTGCCTGTGTAGCCCATTATTGTCTCATCTGACTAGCAGCAGTAGTTTTCAGGGTTTCAAGGCAAGGACCTTCCCACCAGGCTTTATCAGTGGAGATGCCAAGGACAGAGCCTGGAACCTCTGGCATACAAAGCATATGTTTTCCTATGGAACTACAGTCATCATGACAGACACCTCTATCAATACTCCATCTACCCGAGAGGAACACAGAGCTATCCTTTCACAAAAGTCATGTTTTCTTTGTTCATCATGTAACATTGTCCTACCCACAGATCTTAACTGTAGGCTGTGTAAGGAAGGTGATGTATCTTGCCCCAGTCCCTTTTTGAACTGGAACTATTTGAATCCTAAGGATGCAGGCAGGATCTAAACCTAAACAAGACAAGGTGGATAAATAACACAGTTGCTCTGGAGGGAGCAGACAGCCAGGTACAGTTAGAAGAACCAGCACAGCACTGAATAACAGCCAGGGTAAGGCTAGTTTTTCCTACATTCATGAGTAAGTAGGAAAGTTCCAAAGAAAAAGGAGGAGATGGAGGGGGAAAGACAGCATGTTCCTTAAGTACAGATTTAGCTTTGCCAGGCACAGTCCCACATTTCCAGAGAGAGCATGAATTATGGTTAATTACAAGAAATCTGATATGCTTCCTTTGGCTTAGAAGGGAAAATTGTGTTTAGATGTTCTGTCCCTATCTGTGCTAAAAAATAAAAATGAATTACTTCCTCCTTCCCTTATTTTGGCAGCACTGTGCACATTCTTAAGAGGCGTTTTCATATGTATGCCTTCAATCTCCCTTGAGCCTCTCTCTAACACAACACTTCTTGAAAATGCAGCAGTGGGGCATTTGTAATGCAAATGAATATTCTGGCCAGTGTTGCTTTTCCATTTGCATTACAAACAGACTCTCTAAAAAGTAGTTTTGCCTCATGTGAGGAAAAGATTTTTTCCAAGAATGGAAGCTAAGGATGAATTGCCATGGTCTTCTAATGGGGGTAGGGAGCCCTGCAGTCTTCTAGATATTGTTCAAGTAGGAATGGCATTTTGTCTTGGATTGTGTTTCGTCAAGGTTGACAAACCATGAACCACGAATTTCCAAATGCTTCACTGATGAACCACAAATTGGTTTGTTGGTGTTGTTTTTGTTTTTTTAGATAGCCTATGACAGCCTATGGCTGTCTAAAAAATAAAAGCTGAGTGCCCTCCATCCCCACAGCCTGCCCCCTTCCCACTGGCCACATCCCTTCCTTGTCCTTGGACAATGACGTCCATTCTGCTGCCGCTGTGGGCTCTGCAGCCACCGTTGCTGCCCACATCACCACTGATGCCTGTTCCAGCTCTGGTGTCACCATATGTACCACTGCCTCCACAAACAGTGGCTGGCTTCCCTTCAGGCAACCCTAGTCCACACTGTTTGCCCATAAACAGACAGGGCACGCTAGGGCTGCCTAAAGGGAAGCGGGCTACTATTTGTAGAGGCGGCTGTAGCATGTGTGGCAACAGCAGCTGAGGACAAGGTAGGGAGGCGACAGGGCCAGTGGGAAGGGGGCAAGGGGAATCTGTGAGGGAGGTGAACCAGGTAAATTGCCCCAAAAGTCATTGCTTCAGGAAAGTTTGAGTGCCAGATCCAAACCACCTCTAGACCAGGGACACAGCCACAATACTGGCACAAAACTAAGCTAGAGTGAGTTGTCCTAAGGCTATCTGCCAGGTGGTTGTCTAAATTTCTCTCAAAAGACTCCAGTGTTGGAGCACTCACCACCTCTTGAGGTAATTGATTCCATTACCGTACTGCTCTAACAGTTAAGAAGTTTTTCTTGATATTCAACCAAAATCTGGCTTCTTGTAATTTGAGCCCATTGTTGTGTGTCCTTCATTCTGTGATGATCAAGAACAGATCCTGCCCCTCCACTATATGGCAGTCTTTAAAAGCTCAGTCAGCCCTTGGTCATTCTGGTTAAAGATTATACCCTTACTTTTGGCTTGACATAGATAACATCTATTAGAGAAAGCAGTCAAAACACATAAACATGATTTAACACTTCTGATTATAAGCTAAATGAGTTCAGTCCAAACTTAGTCATACTTAAGAGTACATTTACCAAAAAAAATGGAACTCAAATAACTGGAGCCTGCTGATTTCTATGGTATGATTAAGCCTGTATCCAGCCACTAGACAGTTGTGGGTATGAAATAGGGAGGGAGGGGAGTGAAACAGAGAAACAATCCAAGGGAAGAAAAGTATCTGTCACTATAGAAGAAATCTTTAATGTCAATTATATTACAAGACACCTGTAGCTGCCACCTTATTTTCCCCCTAAACCACTTCGAAAGGACCCTCAAGGGGTTTTCCTAGCCTGTTCTTGATCTAATTATCTGCAATATACACTAGTGAATAGGAACCAGGTTGACTTGGAAAAAGATTTACATCCATCTCAAAATATAAAATGGACACAGCAGGTGCCAAAGGCAGTTGTTAACAGTGTTCCGCAGGAGCGGATGGCCATAACTTGCCTCATTAAATAAGTGTCATCTGTGCACTCAAAAGCAGGTTCAAGGTGTTCATGCTCTCTCTCTTAAGCCTTCAAAGCTCTGTAAATTGCTTTAGCACATATAACTCAGTTCCTTGTGCCAGCAAAGTTAAAGAGGCAAAGAGGCTTATGAAGCTAGTGTCTTTCTTTTGACCTAGCTCAGTGGAAAAAAAAAACATCCTCCCTCTCTTTCTCTCTCTCTAGTATGTGCATAAAATATTGGACAAAGCAACTGTTAAGCCAAGGTTTGCTTACAGCACAGTGCATAGACCTCGTATAGAGCAGTAGTTACATAAGTACAGATCAAACTGTGGGGAAAATATGTCATGTGAGATTAGGCTGGGCAAGAATTATGATACGGGGGGGGCACTGCAATATTTAGCACTGCTCAAAAAAGTAACTTTTTCCAAACTCTGGTATAACTAATAGTTTTGAAATCAGAATTCTAGACTCTAATTCTTGCCCAAGTTTGAAACTTTCTGGTTGACTCTCAGCCAATAATCTGTTTCTCAGTTCTGCCACAAGGTACATAATCCGGATTCTTCTCTGCCTCTTTTTTAAACTACAGTTCCCACAATCCCTTACCATTGTCCAAAGCCTGCGCTTGGAGGGGCTGATGGCAGTTACATGCCAAAAATATGGAAGGCCCATCCGTACCTCCAAATGTTAGGATCAAGGCTTTAAACACAGGTGGATAAGTTCCATGCTCCTACCTGTGCCTGGCAAAGTCCAAAACAAAAACAACCTGGGAGGAAATAAATGAAGTGCGGTCGGAACTTCCCCTCCAGGCTAGAAAAATGCTTTCTTCAGCATTAAAAATGTGCAGAACAGTGGGTAGGGTGAAACTTGTTTTAATGGGGAAACCGCTG